GGCCGGGGGCGGCAGGGGAACCTGAGACTGCGAAGTGGAGGCTGGCAAGGCCTGGGGCGGGAGGGCAAAGGGCTGGCCAGGGACCGGATGGGGCAGGAGGGGCTGGCCTTGCAGACCGTGCGGAAGGGCCTGGATCTGGCCATGGAGGGGCGGCTGGGGGAGGCCTTGGGGCTGGCCGGGGGGCCCGCCGAGTGGCTGCAGAGACGGGTGAGGAGGGGAAGGCAGCCTGGGGGGGAGCAAGGAAGGCCCCTGCTGGATGTGCGAATGAGGGAGGCCCGGGGGCAGAGGTGGCGGCGGCTGGCTGGGGGGCTGCGCTCCTGACGGGGACACGTGTGGGCCGGCGGAAGAGGGGATGCTTGCGCCAACCGGCAACGAGGGCAGCTGCGCCGGGAGGGGCCCGGGGGGCTGGGCCAGGCCGTTGGGGGCCTGGAGAGAGGGCTGTTGTTGGGCCGAGGAGTCCGAGTCGCTCTCGTTGTCCTGGGGGCTGGAGATGCTGGGCGAGGTGCTGCGGTTGTCCTGGTCAATGTCCTTGGGGTCGCTGCTGCCCTCGTCGTTCACGCTGCGGCTGTCGGAACTCTCCCCTTCGCCCTCCGAGGGGGAGTTGGGCCGGCTGATCTCCTGGGAGGAGGGGAGGGGAAAGAGGGACTGTCACGCCGGAAGATTGGATCCTCCAAAGGGCTGCCCTGCAGGTGGAGGGGAGCCACCCCAGGCCACGGGGGTCTCTGAGCATCTCACGGGCTTCCATCAGACCAGGTCACCCCTGGAAAGCAACAGCCTGAAGCACAACCCACCCACCACCCTGGGGCCCTCAGCAAGACCACCGTGGGCCGGATCTGAACGCCCAGGCCTCCCCCACCCACCCAGTCTAGCACTGGCGGCGGCTTCTCCTCCTCCAGGGACTCACCTGGGTTTTGGTTTTTTTGGCATTGATGCGGTCGGGCTCCTCGCTGTCTGAGGCCGCCTTCTCCCGCTGCCTCTTGGAGCTCTTGAGAGGAGAAACAGCCTCTTCTTTGATCTTCTGCCACGGAAGAAAAGCCACGGGGTTAAAAGGGAGGGACGGGGCTGGTGCTGCCTGGACGCTTGGCCTCCTACAGGCTTCGCACTCCGACCTAACGAGGGATTTTCCCGAAGGAGTGCGAGGAACAAGGGATGGAGAGATGGACGGAGAACTGATGGGGTGAGAGGTTGCCTTTGCAACGGGCTTCCCCATTAATGTCTGGAAGGACCCAAAGGAGGACACGAGAAGATACCCAATCCCAGCTAGGAAGCTGGCAAGATGGAGGAACTCCGCGGGAAGAGTTTGGAAGGGCCCCCCGAGTCCCAGCTCTATCAGCCGCGCTCGACTTCGGCCTCAACCTGCTCGGACCTCTACCAGGAAGGACCGCCAACCGTTATCCCAACATACTTTGGTGGATTTCTTGACCGAATCCGCCTTGCTGTCGTTACTGGAAGTGCTGGCCGCGCTGGGTGAGTTTCGGCCGCTGGATCGGATGTCCTCGTTGATGGGCGAGGCCCTCCCGTCTGGGCTGGTGGGTTGCTTTTTACGACCGCTGCGAAGTGTAGACATCTGCTGGTTAAGGGAGAAAGGCAAGATCAAAGGCTGCTTCCACGATAGGTAGGTAGATAGGGAATAGAATGGAATGGAATAGAATAGAATGGAATGGAATGCAGGATAGGATCGGATAGGATAGGATAGGATGGGATGGGATGGGATGGGATGGGATGGGATGGGATAGAATAGAATAGAATAGAATAGAATAGAATAGAAAAGAGAAGAGAAGAGAAGCTGGAAGGGATATTGGAGGTCTCCTAATCCACATGATGAAAAGAAAGATTACAGGTGACATGATAGCAGTGTCCCGTATCTCAGGGGCTGCCCCAAAGAAGAGGGAGTCAAGCTATTCTCCAAAGCGCCTGAAGGCAGGACAAGAAGCAATGGATGGAAACTAATCAAGGAGAGAAGCAACCTGGAACTAAGGAGAAACTTCCTGACAGTGAGAACAATTCTATTCCACTATTCTATTCTATTCTATTCTATTCTATTCTATTCTATTATTTCTTCTTATTCTATTATTCTTATTCTATTATTCTTATTCTATTCTATTCTAACCAAGGAGAGAAGGAACCTAGAACTAAGGAGAAACTTCCTGACAGTTACAACAATTAACCAGTGGAACAACCTGCCTCCAGAAGTGGTGAATGCTCCAACACTGGAAGTTTTCAAGAAGAGACTGGACAGCCATTTGTCTGAAATGGTATACATTTTCCTTCCTGAGCAGGGGGTTGGACTAGATGACCTCCAAGGCCCCTTCCAACTCAGTTATTCCGTTACTTTATCACAAAAGTGGACCCACGTGCGACTTACCGAGCCGCGGCTCCTTCTCGTCCTCATGCTATGCTTCCCGCTGAGAGCGTCATCTTCCTCCTTGACCGGCTTAAACATAAAAGGCGGTGGGTCCACCGGCTTCTCGATGGGAGGGAGCTCCCCGTACTTCTTGAAGTGGATCCGACAGTCCGTGCAGAGAAGGATGTTCTCCCGTCCCCCGTGGTGCCAGTCCTTGGAGGCTGTGGAAAGAAAAAAAAAAAAAGAGAGAGAGAAAAGAAGACGCCATCAACCTCAGAAGAACAAATCACAAGTTTTAGGGGGAGACGAGTGCTGGCCTGCCTTGCAGGGCTCTGGGGAAGGACAGAGCCGGAGCCAGTCAGAATCCCTATTTAAATGAGGTCCAGGATGCCAAGGATCCGGTCTTGTACTGGCTATGGATTTTGGCAAAGGCACATTCAGCCTGGCTGGTGATGGGGGTGGGTGAAAGAGGAAGGGTGCCTTGGTCGGTGCAGCCGTGGGGACCCATAATGGGATGTGGGGATGACCTTGGGAGAGGAGGAGCTGCTTAGGGAACGGTCAGATAAGGGACGGCGCTGCCCGCAGCTGCACAATGGGTGGAGAGAAGAGGCTCAGAATGGGAACCTCTCTACATTTTCAGGCTGCAAAAGGGAAGATGGCAGATTTGTACTTTCAGCCCGGCAAGATTCTGTTAACGTAGCCGGACGATAAAGCAGAATTAGCTCATCTGTTTCCTGCCTGGTCTGTCCGGGAAGGCTGAGGAGACCCGGGGAAGACTAGAGAAAAGAAGGACCAGGGGTGACACGAGAGCAGTATTCCAGTATTTGAGGGGCTGCCGGAAAGAAGAGGGGGTTGACTTATTTTCCTTATTATAACCGATGGAAAAGCTCAACTTCAGAAGTCGTGGGCGCTCCATCGCTGGAGGTTTTTAAGAAGAGGCTGGACAGCCAACTGTCTGAAAGGGTATAGGGTCTCCTGCCTGACTAGATGACCTCCAAGGTCCCTTCCAGCTCTATGCTGATGGATTAAGTATGGATTGATTGAGCCCAGCTAAACATACATACTGGTGGTGAAGCAGTGTCGACACGCATAGCCCTTCAGCTCCTGTTCACTGTCCTCGCTGTCAAAATCATCTTCGCTGGCCGAGCTCAAATCCACTAGGAGGAATTAAGAGGGCAAGTGGGAGAGGGAGAGGGAGAAAGGAAGTGGGAGGGAGAAGGAGGGACAAAGAGAGAGAGGGAGGGAGAGAGAAGAGGGAGGGACAGGGAGAGAGAGAGAGAGGGAGGGAGAAAGAAAGAGAAGGAGGGAGAGAGAGAAAGAGGGAGAGGAGAGAGAGGGAGAAAGAGAGGAAGAGGGGGAGGGACAGGGAGAGAGAGAGGGAGGAAGAGAGAGGGAGAAAGAAAGAGAAGGAGGGAAAGAGGGAGGGAGGGGAGAGAGAGGGAGGGAGGAAGAGAGAGAGGGAGGGACAGGGAGAGGGAGGGAGAAAGAGAGAGGGATAAAGAGAGAGGGAGAAAGAAAGAGAAGGAGGGAGAGAGGGAGGGGAGAGAGGGAGGGAGGAATAGAGGGGGACAGGGAGGGAGAAAGAGAGAGGGAGGAAGAGGAAGAGAGGGGGAGAGAGGGGGGAGGGGGAGAGACAGAAGGAGAGAGAGGGAGGGAGGGAGAGAGGGAAGGAGAGAGGACAAAAAGAAAGAAACTGAGTCAGGTTATCTATCTCCCTTCTCCTTTTGGGAAGAATGGGAAAAAAAACCACGACTTTCCGTGGGACCCCTTGCATCTAAACAGGGATCAGTCTCCCGTCCCCCCCAACATGCCTTTCGGCTTCCTACTTACAGAATTCGCTGGAAGGAGGCCGGGAGGGGGTGTTCACCGGAGTGGAAGCTGTCCGGGTCTTAATTCTCCGGAAGACAGCCTGTCGCCGGTGCCTGCGGTGAGCCCGGGAGCTGGCGGCTTCTGGCGTCTTCTTCCAGTAGTAATAGAAGGTGATCAGCTCTCCCTGGGAAGAGAGAGAAACCAGGATGGCCGGGTTAGCAGAGAAACCTAAGGAAAACCCTTGGTAGGGAACAGGAAAAATAAATGTTTGCAAAACCAACGGCTAACGTCTTGGAGGCGATGTCCCATCTGCTCTCCTTTTCAGAGTTGCATTTTCACACCCGCCGGTCTGAACCGCTGGCCTTCCCCATCACGAGGCAAAAGAACGTCCCACCCCTGGAGTTTAATTCTTTACATGAATTAAAAACGTTAAACAAAGCTAAAATACAGTAGATAATTCAAAGAGGAAGAAAAAGGGAAGGAGGGGAAAAAAAAATCCAACTCAAAGCTCTTCCCACAATACTAAAGCCGTAATCTTCGCACGTATACCGAGATGTTCAGATAATTTAGGCAATCGTAGCGCCCGCCGGGAGAAATCGGCAGTAATCCCGCCGTGTAATGAATCTGGCTTACGTTCAGAAAAAAATCGGATTCAAACCAGAGCAGGTGTAATGTGAATTTCACCTCCTTGTGTTTGATGGTTAAGCCTCGATCATTTCCCAAGCCGTGATGGAGGAAAAAGGACCAAGTTATTCAAATAATAAGCAAGCTTGGGGGCGGGAGAGATTCCTAACCAACCTCTTAAAAGTGGACAAGTCGGAATGAACACTGCGTCAAATCGCCCACAAGAGGGTGTGTATGTGAGTCTGTCTGTGAACCTCTGAACAATCTAACCATCTCTGAAAACCTCAGATCCAAACTCTGAGGAATTCTGGGAGTTGAAGTCCACAAGTTGTACAGCGGAGCTGGCTGAGGAATTCTGGGAGTTGAAGTCCACAAGTCGTACACTCGCCAAGGGTGGGGACCCGTGAGCTAAAGCTGTGTTTCTCAACTGTAGCAACTGGAAGGTATGTGGACTTCAACTCCCAGCCGGCAAGAATTGCACATGCACGCACACACACACACACACACAACTGCCATTAGCAATTCTGGTCCAGAGCCAAATCTGTACAAGTTAGTAGCTGGTTTTGCATCGTGCTAAACCATGAGATATATTTGCGGTTGTAAGGAGATGTACTTGCGGTTTCACAAGACTTGTGTAAAGGCACTCCTTGTGGCTCGTAAGCCAGAGTCTACCGCCGATTGTTTTGCGTTAAGTTCCTGCACAGCACAATCATGGTCACGACGAACAGGGCTTAGCACGATGGTGAAAACAAAGTCTTCCTAAAACCCAGCTCAAGTTGTGCTGACTTTAGGTTGTTTCCCTAGCAAGCAAACACACACACATAAGTTTTCTGCCACGGCTTTCTTTCTACTCGGTCTGGTTTGGAAGCCCTGCAATTCCCAATATTAAAAAAACCGGGTTTTCGAAAGAACAGCCAGACCGAAATTGAAGGAACGACGTGCAAAGAGGCCTGGCCCGTTACTAAAAAGCTAAGATTGCAGGCGTACTGGATTCGCTTAGGTCTTCCCATCCCAAAATGCTGGCTGGCCAATGCCAGGCTACTTGTTCCTCTGAAACGGTTCCTCTGAACAAGCCAGAGACAAGCCAGGAAAGGCAGGTTTGAAAACTCTGTCTGGAGGGCAAGCAGGCGCAACTGCTTGCTCCGTGCTCCGTTAAGGGCGATGGTGTCTGGCTAAGGAATTAAACGCTGGAAGAGAGAAAATCCGAGAGGATTAGGGTGCCTGGGTGGTTAAGGCCTGCCGGGCTGACAAAAGACCCGCTTTTGGGAAGGGGGCAGACGGGGACCCCCCGTGAATCAAGCCGAGGGAACGTCGATCAAACATGCAGAGCGTGTGCCCGACAACGCGTGCGTTAATCCAGGGGACAAAAGTGAAACCCGTCGGGCGGGCCGAAACATTAGCCCAAGGAATTGTGGATTAAAAGGAGGCCCTGGGTACAGAAGGGTCTGCTTTGTAAATTAGCCAGTGGGGCACAGAAGCCAAGCGCCCTCCGTCCGTCTGTGGAACTAGATGATCTCCCTTGGCCCCCCCAAGGCCAGCCCTGCTTCTAAAACGTCGAGGGCCACATGGAGACGGAACTCAAACGTCGATGGAGATGATCGGTCATCCAGGTTGTCCCAAAGATGCTTTTTTTAATTTTTTATTTCCCCCCCCTCAAGAGGCAATTAGACTTTCTTTGTTTTTTTTCCTCGAAAATGTTTCGTTTTTCATTCCTCGGTTCTGACAGAACGGTGGAGAATGGAATATATCCTATTCTACTTTACCCTACCTTACCCTACCTCTTTTCATCGGGAGAGGCACTGGGGAAAGATTTTAACTGAGGATGTGCTGGGACGGGGCCTGCCCTACTTCCCAGCAAGTTAGGAAAGGCCACTTTAATTTGCTACGACTTTATTTTTATTTAGTTATTTGTCAAATAACTAAATAACTAAATTCACCCGAAGCGAATTGGGGCGGCGTAGGATAAACCCACCTCCAGCAACGCTCACTCCAGATGCTTTCAAAATACAAACAAAGAAGTAAATAAATAGCAATTTTCTTTGGAGACACGGATGAAAATATGGATTCCGGGCTACGTTTGGGAAGACGGGTGGCGAGCCTTGTGGGCGAGACTGCCCCCTAATGCCAGAATGCAGCATTACACGCCTAAACTTTGGACCACAGGAAGATGAGTTTTTGCAAAGACAGTTGAGTTCACGAACGCTAAAATTAGCGACAATAAGCCACCCCAACGACTGGAGGCTGTGCTATATTTACACACAAGCCAGAAAAAGACTAGCCTTGTGACAGGAAGGGAGAAGAGAAAGAACGACGAACGCAAAGGATTTTAAGTAGCACCGAAGAGACACTGAAAAGATAAAGACGGGAGCATCCAGGCTTCTTGTCTCACGGCAATGCTAAATAAACATGGTTTGTTCCAATCTCAAGTCTGTACGCTTTGTTATCACGGATTTGCAAGCGGTGAATCCAGGCCTTCGGATCTTCCCGGCTCAGGATGATGAGGCTTGCATGCAAAAAAAAAAATACTGGCAGGCATCATCAGGCTGAAGACTCCTGATTTTGGCGATTGGCGATTCAAACCAAGAGGCCAAGCCTTTCTCATTAGTTCAGGGGTCCGTCACCTTCCGAAAAAGGTATTTAAATGATTTGTAGAGCTCCCCTACCTCAAAGGCTGCATTAACAGAGGGATAGAATCAAGATCATGTGAAGTGTTGATACCACTTTACAAGGCCTTGGTTAAGGCCACACTTGGAATACGGCATCCAGTTTTGGTCACCACGATGTAAAAAAGATGCTGAGACTCTAGAAAGAGTACAGAGAAGAGCAACAAAGATGATAAGGGGACTGGAGGCTAAAACATATAAGGAACGGTTGCTGGAATTGGGCATGTCTAGTTTAACGAAGAGAAGGACGAGGGGTGACATGATAGCAGTCTTCCAATATCTCAGGGGCTGCCCCAAAGAAGAGGGAGTCAAGCTGTTCTCCAAAGCCCCTGAAGGCAGGACGAGAAGCAACGGATGGAAACCAATGAAGGAGAGAAGCAACCTAGAACTAAGGAGAAACTTCCTGACAGTGAGAACAATTAACCAGTGGAACAACCTGCCTCCAGAAGCGGTGAAGGCTCCAACACTGGAGGTTTTTAAGAAGAGACTGGACAGCCATTTGTCTGAAATGGCATAGGGTTTCCTGCCTGAGCAGGGGGTTGGACTAGATGACCTCCAAGGTCCCTTCCAACTTTATTATTATTATTATTATTATTATTATTATTATTATTATTATTATTATTATTATTANGGAACTGGCAGGCTGTTTGAAGGGATCATCAGTTATATATATCTGTGTGGGTTTCCCAAGGTGATAATTGAATGGCAGAAGATGGAAGGAAATCCATTTGGAAGGGAGGGAGGGGGGGAAGGCTGTTAAGAGAAAATGCTTTTTCCCCCTCCCTCTTTTTTTTCACGGAGGGCAGCTAATGGCTGACAGAGAAAGGGTGGGGAGGGGGAGAAGCTTCATTCAATCTTAATATTTTTTTTTCCTGGAGCAATGGAATCATCTACTGTGTTTCCCCCCAAATATGATCCAACCGGAAAAATAAAGCCCCAGCGCGATTTTTTTTTCAGGACGCTCGTAATAGAAGCCCCCACCCCAAAATTAAGCCCCAGTTAAGATTGTCAGCCAGATGGACGTATTGAGTACCGTATTTTCCCCAAAATAAGCCCTTTTGGAGCAAAAATGAATATTAAAATCCAGTCTTATTTTGGGGGGGGGGGAACACGAGTAGCGTAATACAGCTGGGGAAAACGAGACGTTTATTTCGGATAACTGCCTTCACGCCTGTCTCTCTGGAGCCCGTGCCGATGTGATCGGTTCGTGAATTGGATCCCATTAATTTAAAAGAAAAATTTTGGTCCTTTTTTGGGGGGGGGGGGCAAGACAGGAGTAAAAAGCAGCCTAAGCTCTCCATCTGTGGTCTGAGGGGTCCCCCCGTAATTTGTGTCTTAGCGGGATTTAAGGCTTCTGTTGGCGTTTGAGGCCAGCCTGGCTAATCTTGAGTCTTTATAATTCAGCAGGCATTAAAGCAAAGCTGTAAGTTACTAAAAAAAAAGAGAGAGAGAGAGAGACATTCATTATGAAAGGGGAGGGAGAGAAATTGCTTCCAAGCAGTAACCAACATACTGCCAGGCACCTTGCTAATTAAAACTAGATTACACTTGTCATAATAAACACTTATTCCAAGTTGCAAATCGGTGGTGGTGGTGGTGTTTTTTTTAATTCCTCTTGCTTATGCGGAAAAAGCCTCACCAAGCCTTGATGCACATCAGGGTGTAAATCTTTAGGAGGAGATCCTGCCTGAGTTAGTCTCACATCACCAAGGGGGAGGACAGATTCTCCCCGTTGCAACTTACAAATATACGTCACTTAAAAGCGCCTCGATTTTTTACTGTCCTTAAAAGGACCCTGCAGTGGGCAAGGGTCCCCGGGGTCACATGACCCGCCATCGGAGTCCTTCACAGGAAGCTTCCAACAAGCAAAGACAAGGGGGGGGGGAGCTGGGTTTGC